CAATTTGAGGAGTGTGCACTTCTTTTACACCTCGAGGTGCATCTGTGTACCAATCTTCATCTTGACTAGTATGCTTTGAATCCTCCGCCATGTTTTTTATGAGATCCCGAATCTCCGTTGGGGTCTTGTCAGTCAAAGATCCTCCACTTGAAGCATTAAGAAGTCTTCTTTCCCAAGGAGTCATGCCTTCAATGAAGTATTGAAGGATTTGATACTCACTAATACCATGCTTTGGGCAACGGGCACAAAGCTTTTTGAACCTCTCCCAATATGTATGAAAGGCTTCTCTTTTGTGTTGTTTGATCCCAATTATCTCTCTTCTTAGGGCTGAGGCTTTCATTTCTGGGAAGTATTTGTCTAAGAAGAGGCGTGCAAGATCTACCCATGTGTTGACCGTCCCCGGTGGAGGTCATAAAGCCAATCTTTTGCTGAGTCTTGCACTGCAAAGGGAAATGCCCTAAGCTTGATTTGGTCTTCAGTGACATTGTGCGGTTTCATGCCAACACACACAACATGGAACTCTGTGAGGAACTTGTGGGGATCTTCATTTTCTAAGCCTCTAAAGGTTGGGAGTAAGTGAATGAGACCGGATTTTAATTCAAGGTTTGTGGCTGCCGGATAGGTGATGCAAAGAGGTTGTTGAGTAACCTCTTGCCTCGCCCATTGGCGAAGGGTTTGTTCGGGTGGTGGATTTGGAGGCGGATTCCCTCCATGGTTGTCTCCCATGGTATGAGTAGTGGTTGAAGTTTCTGTGGGTGTATTGTTTGGGTTGTGATGAGTAGGTGAAGAGGGTGGGGTGGTATTTCTAGATGAGGATGGTTGAGGTGAAGGTAATGGACTTTCTGTTTCGGATGCAGACACACTTGAGAGGGTAATATCCTCCCAAATGTTGATGACCGGGGGATTGGAGGATGAAGAAGTACCGGAAACTGGTTGCCTCTTACGAAGCTTGGCTTGCTTCCTTAACTTCTTTGCAGTCTTCTCTATCTCCGAGTCAATTGGCAGTGGTATACCTGTACGAAAGGATCTAGGCATAAACAATTAGTAACACCGTGTCCCCGGCAACGGCGCCAATTTGTTAGGCGTGTCAGACCCAACAAATAAAAGGGGTACAATAGACTCCAAATACACTGCTTTAATGCACTAAAAAGTAGTACAAGGCAAGCAGGGTCGAACCACAGAGACACGGGACAAAAGTCTATACCTTTTTGCACAAGGTACTTTGGTCACAAAGAAGGGGTTTGTTTGCAAAAGTAAATAACTAAATAACAATCTACTTTAAAAGCATGCACAAAATGAAATAGATTTGTAAACAAATTGATTGAATGGTTCTAGTTCTAGTTCTCAATGTTGTTGTTCAACTTGATTATGACTTGATGTAATTCAAGATTGCTATTCTATGTTGGTACTGAAAGATATTAACACGCTCTAATAACTCTCGCTTGCCAAATTATCTAACCAAAACACGCTCTTTGATTAGACCTAGCTTTACTAATTCAACCTAAACACGCTCTTAGATTGTATTGAAAAACTGCATTAAGTTTTGTACAAGCTTCCCAACAATGTTCATTTCTTCTCATACGCTCGGAAGTGTGAAAACATGTGATATATGTTTTACAATAAGAAAACTTATTGCTTGTTACCAATTATTAACTCAATAGAACGATTAGGTGCCCTAAAAGTTAATTAACTGCACAAAAATTCAATTCATGAAAGTGGCCAATCAAACACAAATCAAATTCAAGGATTCTAGTTTAAACAAAAACATAATCACTAGAATAGAATCACAAATCAAACATCAAATCATATGCTTCAAGTCAAGCAATCAACATTTTTTGAACAAGAACTAGAAACTAGGGTTTCTTAGCCACACATGGCTAAGAACAAATCAAACAAGAATAAGATGGAATTGGAATGTTTAATCCTTACAAAAGTGAAATCCAATGTTTGCAATGATTAAGTCTTCTCAAAAGCTCCAAGAATTCTCCCAAAATTGGCCTAGATCGCCAAAACTGCTCCCAAAACCGTCTCCTCTTCAAAATGACGTCTCCTGCTCTTTTATTAAAGTTCACGTGACATGCCATGAGGCCATGCGTTTTTGGCATGGCCATGCCTTTTGCCCATGTGTTTTTTCTTTGGCATGGCCATTTGTCTTGACCATGCGTTTTTGGCATGGCCCATGCTTTTTGCTAAAATTCCAAAACGTCTTCACTGTTGGCTCCATCTTCATGTTCCAAAGCTCTACGTTCCAAGCATCCAAGCATCCATGCATCCATGCATCCAAGCTCCACGTTCCATGCTCCATAATGCCTGCAAAATAAATCAAAAATAGTGAAGTACCAGGCACTCTTAATGAAATATGCAATTGCCCTAATAATCAACTAAATGCAAGAATTATAAAGTAGAATGCTATAAAAAGATGGAAATAAACATACAAAGTAGGTGCATAAAATGCACCTATCAGTGTCATAAAAACTTACTATAAATACCATGCGAGCCATTCCGAAAATCTCACACCTTTCTTCATTTCTTCTCTGTAAACTTTCTCTCTCTAAGGGTTTTAACCCTCCCCTAAGCCTAGGTGATCCCCTAGCACCCTAAGGAATCCCCAAGGCTCCCGGAGTCCCGAGAAAAAGAGTCTTTCGGTTTCGAAACGTTGTTCCAAATAAAGCCTGATTTTCTTTAAAATCCGCTGTAAGTGAACTACGCTTATGCAATTTTTAATATAGCTTTCAAATAATTATAGTAATGTTATTAGGTCATTAAAATAATTATTTGGGCTATGTTGTAGTGATTTGTTAAGATCTGCATGTTTATCTGTTACTGTTACATGTTTATTTGTTGCATATATTGATATAGTGTGGTTGGGTTGAGTCAATACTGCTCTGTGCGGAAGCCAACAAACCCGTGAGCATGTCAGACATAATCTATGGGCTAGAAAGGCAAGCCAAACTTATTGTGTGAGCTTAGGAGTAATCCAGACATGAGCTCTGGACCAGAAAGGCAAGCCATATTCATGTTGTGGGCTCATGGATAATCTAGTCCCGATGGCTGTGGACCTAGTATGCATGTTGTTATATGTTTGTGTGGTGGTATTTTAAGAAAACTCATTAAACTTTAACTTACGGTTGAAATGTTATGTTTCAGGTACTTCTAATGATCGGAGGAAAATAAAAACGTACTCGTACACCTCCTTTAGTGACATGTTTGTAGATGTTATGACATATGGATTTTGGAATATTTATACTCAAACATTTGTTTCTTATGAATTATGTTTTGGTTGGAAACAATGATATTATTTTAATTAAAAATAAAAAATTATATTATAATTTTGAGATGTTAAATGATCATTCAAACTCACAGCAATCAGAGGCTTCATCTAATTATTATTTAAAATATATATTATAATTTTTTTAGTTTTATTTTTGAAAATCCCCTAATCTAATAAATAAAACCATTTTCGCCACGTGGCAGTAGCTAAGTACCCCCTTAGCGAATTTTCCCGCTCAAATCATCAATGTGAAATTCCAGCTATGCCTTACAATCGATGTTAATATTATACGATCTCTTTCCTAACATATAGGATTACACAGCTGGATTTTGAATTTCAAAAATGGTATCCCAAGAAATCAGCAAATCAGGATATAATCCGTCATAATCACTTCCACCATTGTCGAACAAATTATATCTGATTTATGATTCTTATTCCCCCACATCATTATCTTTATTCTCTCTTTCGATTATTTGTCGACTCAGGATATAATTCTTTCTAGGATTTTTTCTTATATTTTGTTTAGGTTTGTGTTCTTATATTTCTACTTTGTAGATGTTGAGGAGCGATGATGAAGAACATAATCCTAGGTATGTGCGATTTGATTCCTAACTTTCAAACCCTGCATACACAACGCTTTCTCAGAGGTATGTTTATAAGGTTTACATGTTTTCAGTTCATCATTTGCTAATCATTTTTAGTTGGTGGGGCATTGATTGTTATTAGGTTGCAGTCTCTAGATTGCTTTAAAATAATCGCATTCCCCTCTGTTCTCTTTTTTATATGACGATTCTCCTCAAAACAAAAAAAAACTAATCTAATGTTCAATAATTTGGGTTTTCGCTTTAGAAATATCCATCGATGTAAAGGATTACAGGAGCTGAAATGGAGGAAATCAAAGACATTGCTAAGTAGTAACTGAACCATAACAAACAAGATAAAGGCTTGGTCTTAGACATTGGAACATAGAGTAATGTTAGTTCAGTTTTTTACTGCATAGATTAATGATAATAATACTTTAGTTATGTATAGTCTTATACATTTTTTATTGTAGGAATTTATATTGAGATTTTATTCAAAATGTTTCACAGTTCTCAACCTACTGTTATATGTGAGTTTTAACTTCAAGATGAGGATGTATGTGTTTAATAAAATATATTGATAAATGTAGCAAATGGGGTTTTGTCAGCTTATTTATGTTCAAGATCGATTTTGCTGCTAAATTTGACTATTGAATAAGGTAATTCATTTTTACCATTTTCTATATTTTTGCTAATATTTTGAATTCTTGATCATGTTTTGTGTTGCTTGTTTTTAGTATAAGCTTAAAGGGAAGGCTGATTGTATTATGCTCTTTTGACTACTCGGTGATATAGGAAAAATAACTTTTTAACCGGTCATATTTCAACCCTTGGAATTGTTATTTTTCTATATATATTCTACTTCAGGTGATTAGGCACAAAGGAGATGAATTAGGCGCATGGGAATTATTTGACCATGGCTTTTTGCAACTCATGTGATTTTTTTTTGTAGATTTTTACAATTTATGTATATTTTTATTGACTTTACTAAGAACATCAATTTTTTAATTTTTTTTTAACCATGTAGTAGTTCTCGCAAATCTGCTTTTGAGGTCTGTCCATGATATCTTCGTAAACAGTTTCAGTTCTATTTCTTTTTGAATAAAGTTATTTTTGAGGTGAGTACTTTATTTTTGCAATGTGTACTAAAATGTTTGAACTTTGGATGTAGTTGGAGTTGGAGAAATGAATGATGAACTTCTGAGCACGAACATTTTTTAACTTATCACGATGTTCAAGCTTTGGGGTGTTGAGTTAAAAGGTAAAATTTAAGGGTTTTTTTTATGTAATTGTATATGAAATTAGAGGTGATGGTGGTTGGTTTTGTAGGTCAAAGTTGGTGGATTTTATTATCAAGGTTTATGTTTCTGGTATGAACCAAAGAAGTTTTATTTCATTTTGTGGTTTTGGTGGTTCTCTTTTTTGACAATCAAAATGGAAGTAACTTTTGATCCTTTTTTAGATAATATAATTGATTTCTCTGTTTCTATGTGAATTACATGCCTTTTAATGATTATTTTATTTATTTGTAGATATTTAGCTTTGGCTTTTGTGTCTCCCAACCACTTGTGAATTCCTTAATTGTATAATCTAAGATTTACATGTGTGCATTAGAAAAACCTGATAAGTTTTATTTATTTATTTATTTTTTTAGATTAAACATGTGTTTCTACATTTTCTTTATGTTTTAAGGCATGTAGCTCAAGGAATTTCAATGGTACACAATTGCATATTTGTTTTAAATTGTAGATGGTATGCTTGTATTTTAAAGTAGTATTTATTGAAATTTAGTATGAAATATAATTGTTTTGTCATATAAATCAAATGATCATGTGATTTTAATTATTTTTCAGGTGGTCTATGATGCCATTATGTATGAAATACTTGTAGGATATTCACAATCTCAACATTGCGATTAGAAGAGTAAATCGAACATTTTAAATTACATTAAAAAAACTCTAAATCATACATTCAACTATTTTATGTATTTATAAACAATTGTATTTTATTTTGAGCATTATAAGAAACAAAGTTTGATGATTTTTTTTTATTTCCTATCTATGAAGGTTGACATAAATGTTTTTAGCATGTATTTGAAATGATTAATTGTTTCATTACAGTTTGGCTCAATGATTAGAGAAACTAAGATTGTTACCGTCACTAACTTGTGCAAATAAAAAAATAGAGAATTCTAAATATATATCTTCTTCTAACGGTTGATTATGATGTTTGACGGGTTATGTTATCATTTATACTGGTAGTGCTAAACATGGATACAAGTATGTAAATATATGTATGCAACTACATTATTATCGTTCTTAGTTTCTCTATCTTTATATTGGTTGTTGTTTCGATCATGTCTTAGAACTAAGAAACTAATTTGAAAATCCAACTAATTGTAGATAATTATCAGTCTAAATCAAATCGTGATCAGTCATCAATATGTTTACATATTTTTTTAGCATTTCTAAACGATCTTTGCGCAAGATGGGTTGATTGATTTTCTTTTTTTAAAAATTGGGTTGAAAAAAATTGACTAAAACAGCAACAATTTCTATTAATTTTATCAAATTACTGTGTAATTAAATACATACAAATCATAAAATTAATTAAAAAAAAAAAATATTACAATTCATAAGTTTTCTAAATTAATTATATATTATTTTATTACATAATTAATTTCTATAATTCTATTTAGAGGGTTCACGGTTTTAACCTAGTATTTAAAATATATATAGAGAAAAATATGCGAGAAAATACCTTGGCGTACAAGGAACGCTCGACCATTGCCTATATAAAGAAAATGCAAAGCAACAAATCCTCAATTCGATTGCTCACCTTCAATATCCGAACCCTAATCATAAACCTTGCGTTTTAATTAATCTGATCAATCGAAAGCTTTCACAAATCGACTCAGCAATTTCGGGACACGATCAATCAACAGGTTTGGTAGTTTATTGTGACTACGATCAATATTCTTCTAGATCTTTGTTACCGTAGGAGTTTATGCCGTTGTAGTATATATGTATCTCGATCAAATCATCGGTTAAAGTTTGTTAACGGGACTGCAACAGATGATTGGATCTGATTTTTACGATTCTAGCCGGTGGTTCAATAGATATAGGATTAGGGTTTTTATGCTTTTTTAGGGAATTTGTTTACTTGCGTGTTATTTGTTGTTTCTTGGTTATGTATTGGGTTGGTAGGCGTTAGGATCGTCATTAGATGATATAACCAGTTCTACAAGTAGAACACATTCATGGAAGTTTTTGATCACCGATCGGTTTTCTGGAACGTATTGATTCTGCCATTGTTGTCCGAGGACCTGAAGGATGCACTGATCAACAGTTTTCCTACTCGTTCTGCATGACTTTTGGGGTTTATGATCGTGGAAAGGAATCAGGGATCTTTCGTTATGGTTTTCTTTGAGAAGGAATCTGTTGGAAAGCAACTAATCATGAATGTGTATGTATTTTATTTAGTATGGCAACGGAAGCAGCCAAAAGATTCTCAGTGAAGACGGACACATCAGTTTTCAAGAGGCTTGGAAGAGGAAATCAAGAAAATATCGCAAGAAGTCATCAAGTGAAAAATCTGGTCTGCAAGTATTGGTTGGAAGGAAGATGCACGAGAAATCCTTGCAAATTTAAGCACCCGGATCAAACAATCAGTAAATCAAAATATGCTTGGAAGAATCCAAATACATTAAAGTCAGAGAATTCACCTCCCATTGAGAAGCCCCGAACAAAATTTTCGAAGAACAAAGAGAACTCCAACCTAAATCAGAATGTTCACAAGTCCCAACACAAATTGTTGACAAATGAAGTAAACCCTGGTCAATCTAAAAGCATCCCCAAGAAAAACAGCAAGAACTTGCATCCGGGGTTCTATGGTAAGGGACTCTCAATGGTGACCCCTTTAGAAGGGCATACAAAGGTAAACGCACACCAAGTGTTTGTTTTTATTCTTGTAGACTATGAACCTTATCTAACAATCAAAACTTTGTATCAGGCTATAACCGGGATTGCTTTGCCATCTGGATCCAACAAGCTCTTTTGTGGTAGCAAGGACAAATCTTTACGAGTTTGGGATTGTAATAGCGGACAGGTTTGTTTGATTTTCTTGAATCTTTTTCCTTTTATGAGAACACACTTACCATGTTATTTATGCTATCTTTTTCGTGTTGACCAGTGTGGAGCAGTTTTCGCCTTTGATGACGAATGTGGGAGTTTAGTCAACGAAGGTCAATGGATTTTTGTTGGTCTACGAGATATGATTAAAGCATGGAACCTCAACACACAACATGAAGTAATTATTCGAGGAAGCGGTGGACAAGTTAATGCAATTACGATGTTTGAAGACGTTCTTTGCTCCGGAATGGAGGTAGGTAAATAGAACGGAATGGAATCGGGAAAGGAATGGAATCGTTCATTCCGTTTTATTAATTTTCATTTTCATGTTTATGTGCAGGATGGTATCATTTTGTCATGGAAATCAACTTCAGAAAGGAGTTTCTCTGCAGTGGCAACATCTTTGAAAGGCCACACAGGACCTGTACTTTCCCTTGTTTTTGGAGCTAAAAAGCTCTATTCTGGTTCTGCTGACAATACCATACGAGTATGTTGTTTTAAACATATTATAGTAGTTTATTAATAAGTAATTTGCTTTTTAAAAATTCTTTTGTATTTGATGTTTCTGATTGTGGTTCATTTTATTTTTCTTGTTGAAGGTATGGGATGCTGAAACCCTAGAGTGTATTCAGGTTTTAAGTGGACATTCGGGTGATGTGACAACAGTTCTATGTTGGGATCAGTATTTATTGTCGGGTTCCTTGGACAAAAAGATCAGGGTTTGGGGTGAAACCGAAAATGGCAACATTGAGGAGGTTTATCAACACAATGTAGATGATGTAAGTTGTTAATTTAACACTTCCCTTACATTTTTATTATTTTTTGGGTCTTACATAACAAGACATTGTGATCCTCATCATCAAAAAATAGCATAAGAAATGAGATGATTTTTTTGGGGTTTTGCAGGATGTTTTTGCCTTTTGTGGGATGCATGATGCAGAAGGAAAGCCGATCTTGCTATGTTCGTGCAAAGACAATGGTGTTTGCTTATATGATTTGCCATCGTAAGTCTCTTTGTAGCTTTTTTATTTTATCATGTAATTTATTGGAAGTTAGTTATGACAGTTAGTATGGTTTGTTTTTTTATTATAGGTTTGTGGAAAGAGGCAGAGTTGTTTCAGGAAGAGACATTCAAGCGATCCAAGTGGGTCCCGATGGTCTGTTTTTTACTGGTGATGAAGCAGGGTTGATCTCAGTTTGGAAGCTAACTCTAACTGGAGGAGGAGAATCATTATGCAAATCTTAAGTTGGTTTTTGATGAGAAGTTAGTTTTGTATTGTTTAGATGACCATGGTGACCCTCCCCTTGAAGGAGTAAATTGTAAATTAACATTTAACATTTATTTGAATGAATACAAGTTGAATTGAGATGTGTTATTTTATTTTACTCTTGGTGTGAATACTGAATAACATCCATGCCCTCATTTTATATAGGCAATCTTTGAGGTTGATTCAAGATTTGTGCTTGACTGGTTTGTTAATTGTTATTGAGCTGGAGTTTGATGTTGGATTGGGGGATTTTTTGTTTTTATTAATTTAGTTTATCTGTAACTTTTTATTTATATAGATTTTTGAAACTATCAATAGTAGGTGTACAAAGTGATCAACCCACCGACACCATTTGAACCCAACCCAAAATTAAGGGGTTGAGTTGAGATTGTTAACCTATTTAAATTAAATGGGTCAACCCATTTTGTCAAATGGGTTGGGTTTTGTCTTTGATGTTTCTGATTGTGATTCAGGCGTGGGATAGTGAATCTCTACACCCCGCTAGATAGAGCTATGTTTAAATGTTTCTAGCAACTATTGTGTGTATAAATGCACCAATAGGAATTTAGGAAATAAATAAATAAATAAAGGTGATTTAGTAATTTGATATATAAGTTCCATAAATATTTCCTATAATCTAGTTATATTGACTTTTACCCTAATTTCTCCCATATTTATATACGACCGTTCTTTTTTCCTCACCCCACTTGTGTTTGTGTGTGTGTATGAGAGCACGTTCTTCATCATCGACAAACGCTCATGCATCCCTCATCATTATCATCATCTCGTGTTGTGAGTGCTCCAAGATCACATTCACTCTTCCTGATGGAAAGCCTAAAGTTTCCACATCCATTAGCTATAAATGTGATCGAACAAGATTTGAAGATGAAGATGTTGAATTGATGTCAAGGGATCAGATTGAGAGGTTTTCTCCTTCCAGAAAAGATGGAATTAACGCCTTACACGAAACTCATTTGTGCTACTATAACTATGCGTTTCTTCAGAACCTTGGAATTCGTCTTGATCTGTAAGCAAAACATTTTAGTTTATACTTTACTTGTATACATTTTTGAAATTAGGCAATAACATAAACCTTTGTCTATTCTTTTGTTTGAGATTAACTTTCTTTCAATTTCACTACAACCCACAAACTACTATAGGAATTGCTATGGTTCTATGCCACCATTTTTTTTTTCCAGAGGTCTCATGCATCACATGACAGATTTGTAAGTTACCATTTCTCTTTAGTCAAGAAATTTTTGTATCTTACATGTTAATACTTATTACATATAGGCCTTATTTTCTTTATTATTCTATTCTACTTTCAAAATGTGATCTTTATCTGAAAGAATTTAATATATAATCTTTATACATTTTGCTGCAGCTGATTGCTACTGCTGCTCTTTTTCTTGCTGCAAAGTCGGAGGAGACACTTTTCCCTCTGAATGATGTATTGAGAGTGTCCTCTGAAATTTTCCACTAGCAAGATTTCAATGTGTTCTGCTATCTACACCCCATGGTGACTTGTTAAACTTTCTTTTATCATTCAATCTTTTTTATATTACTTTGTATGATTGTTTTTTATCTAATGTACAACTAACTATTCAAACATGATTGGTTTGATGAATACCGAGAACGAGTGCTTGAAGCTGAGCAAATGGTTTTGACAACTCTAAACTTTAAGCTGAATGTGCAACATCCATATACACATCTCACATCCATTCTTGACAAATTAGGGCTTGCACAGTCACTTTTGGTAAACCTAGCATTGAGCTTGGTCAGTAAAGGGTAAGCCATCCATTTCTTCCCTTTTATGGAGTTAATAAAATATATGAATTAGAAATAGAATGTTGGTTGCTTTTTCATTTTAACTACAGTGGTTATGAGCCGGAGATGGAGGCTGAAGCCAAAGATTCTGAAGATGAAGCAGGAGGCATTTTAACTACGGTGGTATATTTTTGATAATACAAACTCTTTAAGAATATTTAAAACCATTCTGCAAGAATAGTTTATTCTATAAGGATATTATTGTCGTATTCTGATAAAATTGTAGTTAATTATTTATATGTTTAATGTGCAGTTGTTACAAGTGTATCACTACAAATTATTTGACAATGAATTTCTGATAGAAATGGTTTGAAAACCTGATGGAAAAGGATTGAAGAATAAATTAAAGAATGATCATACTCACTGTTTAAGAATATTGTTATTTTTTAAGAATTATACTTGTTATTCTTTTAGAATGTTTGTTATTATTCAATGAATCACAATCATACAATGTAATTATTTGGTATATTATTAGTTCAAGAATCGATTTTGTGTATTCTTTCAGAATGTATTTACTAGTTTATGATTGACATTCTATAATTCTGACAGAATAAAATCGAAAAATATATTTACTAGTTTATGGTTGACATTCTATCATTCTGACAGAGTAAAATCGGATTTTTAAATTTGAATTAATTAAAATATTCAGATTTTTAAAAATAAAGGAATTAATTATCCCTAAAAACCCAAAATTTTCCTTTTTTTTTAATATAGGTTAATTGTTTAAAATGCTCTTATACTGAAATTTGTGTGATTATATGGTACATGTTATCCTATTCTAATACATAGACCCTCAGATCAATGACCTTGATTCTACTCCATTCGACGATCCAGATCTGTACATTCTGGCACACAATAGTTAGTAAAAACAAAATAACCTAAGTATATATATATATATATATATATATATATATATATATATATATTGCAAAACTAATGAAGTGTGTAACTTATTTAAGTAAATATAACCTCTATTTATTTTATTTAAGTTTAAATTTAATGAGTTAACCCAGATTCAACCAAATAATTTGACAGATTGGATTGGAAAAAAAATAAACAAGTTAACTTGATGTCAACTTATTTATTTAGGAGATTAGGTTGGTTTAAGTATCTCAACCTTTTTAATAAATAAGTTGAACCCAACCTAGGCCATTTGTTGGTATTAGTAGATTTCTCCGGTATGTGTTCTTTGTTTGTTTACCACTTTAAGAGAAGGAATAAGACTATTATTATTGTAAACGTACATACATCGAAGTGATGAAAGAATTTAGAAAACTTATTGTAATTTACAATATTTACTATACTAGCTGTATATTCGCTAATTAATCCCAACCTATCTAAAGATCATTTGACATGTCTTCTCATCGATGCTGTCGTAGATACAAATCTTTATACTGATCCTCCAATACAACGTCAAGGGAGCGACCTAAAACTACGACTATCATCTTTCTTAATTAATGCGTTCTAAACATCAAGAAGATCCATTGATAACTCGTTTAAGAGATTATCAAACAAGATTTTTGCAATCTCGATGCCAATTTCCTTTTGTTCCTCTTCAAAATCTTTCCATTCCCCTCTTTTTTCCATCTCTTGAATGCACACTTCTCTCCTACCCTCCATTACCCAATCCAAAGATCCGTCATCTTCACCTCCCACCCAACATTTTGCCATCCTTATAACTTTAGACTCAAATTCACTATTGTTTTTCACTCCCTTATTCGTGATCAATTCATCCCTAAAGAAATCTAGTAACAGATCATCCACACTCTCATCACACTCTTCAATTGAGCTTGTTGTTTTGACATGATCCATTAATTGGATTGCCTTTTCTTCTACTCTAAATGATTCAACATCATCTAATTCGATATTTCTGTTCACTAAACAACCATCCTCCACCTCAATCAGATTCTCGAAGTCTTGAATACGTTGCTTAAGCATCGTGTTTCGTCCTGTTGAATGCAAAATTCATTGATCAATTCGAGTTTTATAAGAGATTAATAAGTAATTAGAGGAAATGGATAATGGATAAGAACACTTACTTTCCATGTTTGCAAGGACTTGATGAAACGAAGAGAAGGTTTCTTCATGTTCTTGTGAAAAATCAAGGACTGAAATTGGGCTAAATTGTTCCTCCTCCTCTTCTTCTTCTTCTTCATGTACGATTTGATTCTGTATCGCAAATTTACAAATGATCATAAGCCCCCCAAAATAATTAACTAAATTTCATCGCAAATTTTAGGTAATCATATTTATTTATTTTTACCATTGGATCTCTGGAGTTCTGACGGAGCCTTTCGCCGCTAGCTACATTAATGTGGAAATTCTTCTCAGTATCACCGGAAAATCCACGGCACCATACCGGTGAATCACCGACAGTAAAATCACTATCACACCAGCTACTCCTCGGCGTTCCAGCGGAAGTTGTGGTAGCGGTTGTAGTTGTACATCGAGAAGGAGAATCAGACTCCACAATAACTTCCGATGGCAGAGGAACATTATTCTCCTCCGGATCCGCCAAATCACGAAACGATCTCCATCGTAATATATCCTTGACAGTCACAGAAGTTGTCCTCGCCATCGTGGGCTCCGGTAGACCTGATGATGATTTGTTTCTGTTGATCCGTGTAGACTTGGAGAAACGGCGGGAGATGCTACGGCGTAAAATGGAGGAGGATTTGACGGAGGAGACGGCGGCGTGGAAGAAGACGGAGATTGTGGATTTGCGAGAGCAAGAGCGAGAACGAGGGAATGGTAGGTTTTGGTCTTGTAGAAAGTCTTTGAGTCTGCGAGGTTGAATTACACATTGTGATTCCATGTATGTGGCAGAATTACAGGAATTAGCCATGCAAGTTGCAAAATGATTGTTCCAGAACTGTGTGTTTGTAGGCTGTAGTGTGTGTTACTGTGAGGAAGGTGATGCTCTTGAATGTTGATGGGTGTATATATATCTTTATGGAGAAGAAGGTGACATGAAGCTTCTTGTATATCACTGTTCACTACAAAATTAATTGAGATAAAGTTGAAAAACCTATTAAATACTATAACTTAATTTTATATATTGATGGGGTACATATGAAAAAAAACCTTTTAATTAATTGTGTGCTCTTTGTAAATAAACAAACTTATTTTAAAATTTTAAGTGTTGTATTGTATCATGATATGAAATATATTATTATTTTAACTAAAACCAAATATAATCTAAATTGATAATAGCTCTCTCATTAAGAATATGTGTTATTGCAATTTGCATGCATTTAACGCTTTAAATGAGCAAGAAATGTTATAGAAATTTAGCCAATATAATAATACTTTTTTTGTCAAATTCGTAAATACACTTATATGATATTTCTAATTAATTACAACCTATTAGGCATTACATGAAAGCAATCAAAACATAAAAAAATATTGTTCTTTGATCTTCAACACTTTTCTATTGAAATAATAGATCAAATGATACACTGAATAGAATCATAGAAAACAATAATTAAACGTGTGTTTTTTATAGTTATTATATTATATTTTTATTTAATTAAAAAATATATTCAGATTTTTTATTTAAGTTCTTATCTACGACTTCTCCAAATACATTCACAATACTTTTCTATCTGTATGACTTCTCCAAATACACTCACAAGACTTTGGTTACACACTTTTATGTAACCGCGAAGTATCCTTTTTTGTATGAACTGTTTAATTATGAGAAAGAGATCGATATAGAGAGCCTCGGAGATGAGAAGAACATAGAAGCCAAGAATGTTAAAAAAACATACATCAACATCACCATGAAAAAGAGAGAAATCTAAAGGAGAAACATCAAATGTGGCTCAAAAACAGAGAAACAGAAATGTTTTTTTTTTTTTTTTTTTTTTTTTTTTTTTTTTTTTTTTTTGGTGAGAGAGAGAGAGAGAGACCCATTTTTGTTTTCTTTAAATATAAAATCATTTAAATAAAAAAAATCATAAAAGATATATCGATAATTTACAAGTATTTCACCTTTATTTCCTAACCCTACTAAACATAAGGACTACAGTACCGGTGGGTTTTCAAACTACAAAGATCATCCGTACCAAAAAAAAAAAAAAAAAATCTATAAAAATTATTTGTGGTATTTTTTGTCAACCGCATGAATCATTTATATAATTTTGTCCTTTTCATATGAAAGATGTATATAACTCATAACAAAATTAAAGTTTATTAGACACAATAGCAACAAAACCCTTGGGGGAGTTAAAATGTCGACAGTCGTATTTTCATCATGAAAAAAACAACTACATCAATATGATCTCCGACATGTGTGAAAACATTAACCTGAAAATACGGTAAACAAATAGAATGAGGTCAAAATACGCAAACCAACATATATACACGAGAAAATCATAGTATAAATATACAGATCAAAGGAAGCAAACAAAAAGAAAAGTAAGTGATTAGGGATATAGTACTAAAACATATACATAAATAAATCATTATACAAACAAATTTTTATTAATTAGAATCTAATAAAAAAATATATGATAGATTCTGTGGGGGGCAAGATTTGTGTTGGTCTTTGACTCTTCAGGAATCGGACAAAAGCCAGGAGACTCAATTTGGAGCGTAGTGAATATTAAACCTGTTTAGATGGTCGCATCCACGTCTCTGGTTTCACTTATATATTTACTTGTTGAAAGGTCATACCAATCTTTTTTTTAAGTTTTCCTACGCTAAATTACTTTAGTATAACTATGAATAAGGATTATTTACTAACATATTTTTGTCACATTTAATAGTAGTAATCTATGATATAATTAAAAGTATAGAAGAAAATTATTGACAGTCACCCAACCTACCGGTTCAACCTGATATATATATATATATATATATATATATATATATATATATATATATATTATATATATATATATATATTATATATATATATATATATATATATATATATATATATTCTTAATCGTCTTACTTTACCAAATCATATAACCAAGTCTTGGAGGGATAGGTTTAAGATGAAATGGGTGAGGTGCTAAAAAAGGGAACAATGTTTTGTTGCTATGCATGGTTTTTGTGCCTCTATTGCGCAAGTTTTTTGCACAATACTCGGCTAGACATATGCAATATATAAGATAAAATAAGAAAAC